TGTGGATGCTGGACCGCCACCACCACTCTCACATATATGACTTTCCATATATACACACACCACACACACACTTTCCGTATACACACATGTGCACACACACACACACACACACACACACACACACACACACACACACACACACACACACACACACACACACTTTCCATATACACACATGTGCGTAAACACACACACACACACACCTGAGCCCAATAGGCTCAGGAACCTGTACACCTGTTGATTGACGGTTGAGAGGCGGGACCAAAGAGCCAGAGCTCAACCCCCACAAGCGCAATTAGGTGAGTACAATTAGGTGAGTACACACACACACACACACACACAGGGGTCTGGCAGCTGAGCGGACAGCGCTCAGTACTCGTAATATTCTGTGACCCGGGTTCGATTCCCGGACCAGGCAGAAACAAATGGACAAAATTTCTTTCACCCCTGATGACCCTGTTACCTAGCAGCTAGCTGTGAGTGAGCTCCTAGGCACGTAAGAGCTAGGAATAGATGACCTCCAAACCGTGAATATATAAGGCTATAAAGATATTCTCAGTTTTTGTTATACCCATTTTATATATATTTACAGAAGAGCAAACTCCTAGCATAAACAACAGTCGCTAAGTTTACCCGATAGGCAGACAAAGTTTACTATAATTGTATACCCTCCCCTCTCCCCCGTGTGCTATAATTGAGCTTCAAAAACCGTGTTCGAGGCCTAGAGAGAGAGACAAGAAATTGACTTTCATAAAAATAACAAATATTGCCATTTACGTGTACCCAAAAGGCAGGGGGGGGGGGAAGTTGGACCCTTTGAACTGTTTTGAGTAAAGCCTTTATTGTGACCATTGTGGCAAGCGGCTTCTGGAGTTATTCTCTCTATCTTTAAGCCTTTTTCACTGCCTGTCTCTCTCTCCATTTCGGTTTCAATCTTTATAATATTTCGTTATTATTTCTGGCCCTCAAACGCCGCGTCACCCCATAAACTACGACCAATACTGGAAGAGTCAGGACTGGTTGTATTCTTGCATGACTTGTCAAGAATATATATAGTATTCTTAACAATGTATAGTCAAGAATATATAGTATTCTGTGACATTTCCAGTATTATTTCCAGGATAAAACGCAGATGTGTGTTACTCTGGCCTCTATGTGCTTCCAGGCAACATCGCTGCCTCAATGCTGCCTCTATGCTGCCCCTATGCTGCCTCTATGCTGCCTCTATGCTGCCTCAATGCTGCCTCTATGCTGCCTCTATGCTCCCTCTATGCTGCCTCTATGCTGCCTCTATGCTGCCTCTATGCTGCCTCTATGCTGTCTCTATGCTGCCTCTATCCTGCCTCTATGCTGCCTTTCTGCTGCCTCTATGGTTTAAAAACATATGAGGCTACCTGGCTTGATGGATACTGATTAGATTAATAGGGACAATGATTAATACACAGATATTAATCATACTAACGTGGTACATCAATGGGAGAATCCGTAGGGGCCGTGAAGAGGATTCGAACCAATGCGGTGCGTGTTCCCCAGGCACACGCCCCCGGACAACCAGGCCAAGACATGGTCAAAAGGATTGCAACCTGGAGTTCTACTGAACACACGAGGGATTCCTGGGGCTTCCACTCAAGCTGGACGATCAGAATTTTCACAACATTTATTCTTTGTACTCTGGCTGGCAACTGTTGTTGGATTGCCTCTTGGGAAGGTTCAGAAGGTCGTCCACTGGACCAACTCGTCCACTGGATCAGCTCGTCCACTGGATCAACTCGTCCACTGGATCAACTCATCCACTGGATCAACTCGTCCACTGGACCAACTCGTCCACTGGACCAACTCATCCACTGGATCAACTCGTCCACTGGATCAACTCGTCCACTGGATCAACTCGTCCACTGGATCAGCTCGTCCACTGGATCAACTCGTCCACTGGATCAACTCATCCACTGGATCAACTCGTCCACTGGATCAACTCATCCACTAGATCAACTCGTCCACTGGATCAACTCGTCCACTGGACCAACTCGTCCACTGGATCAGCTCGTCCACTGGATCAACTCATCCACTGGACCAACTCATCCACTGGATCAACTCGTCCACTGGACCAACTCGTCCACTGGACCAACTCATCCACTGGATCAACTCGTCCACTGGATCAGCTCGTCCACTGGATCAACTCGTCCACTGGACCAACTCGTCCACTGGACCAACTCGTCCACTGGACCAACTCGTCCACTGGACCAACTCGTCCACTGGACCAACTCGTCCACTGGATCAGCTCGTCCACTGGACCAACTCATCCACTGGACCAACTCATCCACTGGACCAACTCGTCCACTGGACCAACTCATCCACTGGACCAACTCGTCCACTGGACCAACTCGTCCACTGGATCAACTCGTCCACTGGACCAACTCATCCACTGGACCAACTCATCCACTGGACCAACTCGTCCACTGGACCAACAATTTTTTTCTTATGAAGTGATGAAGCTACCCATTTCATTATGTATGAGGTCAATTTATGTTTATTGGAGTTAAAATTAACGTAGATATATGACCGAACCTAACTAACCCTACCTAACCTAACCTATCTTTATAAGTTAGGTTAGGTTAGGTAGCCGAAAAAGTTAGGTTAGGTTAGGTTAGGTAGGTTAGGTAGTCGAAAAACAATTAATTCATGAAAACTTGGCTTAATAGGCAAATCGGGCCTTGCGTAGTAGGCTGAGAAGTGAGTTCTGGCTACTAGGTACGACATATATATATATATATATATATATATATATATATATATATATTATATATATATATATATATATATATATATATATATATATATATATATTATATATATATATATATATATATATATCTTTTTGAAGGAGTTGGGGTCTAAGCTAATCGAAACAACTAGAGACCATAGAGCTGCCAGTGTTCTTTTTCAGCGCCTTAGTGTGGCAGTCCAGAGAGAAATGCTCACTGCATCCATGGTTCCCGCCCGCCATCTGAGGAGCTGGAGTAGCTGTTCAACTTGTGACAAGCAGCCTTGTACCCTGCATGTAAACAATATTGTAACTTTTTTGTGTAATGACATTTTCAAATAAAGTTAGATAAATATACACACAAACCAAAAGAATAGGGGTGGTAGGAGAAGAAAATATCAGTGTTCAGTGAGGATCCACAAGGTCTTCTCTGAGTACTCTTTATTTCTTCTCCGAGTCAATGGATCCCTATACTTGCACCAGAGGTGGTACCCCTTCTAAGTTTAAATATATATATATATATATATATATATATATATATATATATATATATATATATATATATATATATATATATATATATATATATATATATATATATATATATATATATATATATATATATATAATTCAAAACCACTGAGTTTTACGATTTCTCTCATCTCTTATAAAAAAATATCACAGTATTATTTTTTTTAATTGCGTCACAGTCGATGATAAAATTTAATCCTTTCAAATGATTAATCTCCAGCCAAGCAAAAATCATTTGTAATCATGATGCATTTGTAAAATTTTCAATATCAGATTCCTCACAATGTCGAACGTTCACCAGAGCTCTTCACAATGTCGCACGTTCACTAGAACTACTTACAGGAACTGTTCACCAAATGAACAGATTCATTATAATTCATTAGAATTCATTAATCATTCACTAGATTTATTAGAATCTAGTTCAACCAAGTTCCTATCAACTTCCCCCTCCAAAAAAATCTTTCTAGGGTTTCTATGTAAATTTATGTATAGTATAGAAGAGATAAAGTTACATATGGAACAATCCCTGGCCCTCTAGACTGAATCTTGCTACATTCACTACCGTACACACACACACAAAGGTGTTGAGTTCACACTCCACAGTCTCACCTCACTGCACTTATTGATATATATTCCATCCAAGGAGGCCTGGTCGGAGACCGGGCCGCAGGGGACGTTGAGCTCCGAAATCATCATCATCATCCTCATCATCATCACAAGGTATTGTCAGGAATGAGAGCCAACAGAGGTCTCATTGTCATACCTTGCCTCGCATGATGAATAATGATGAGGTAATTACATTGTAAATTTTTGGATAATTAACAATGAGAAATGTGGTTAGTGGGTGAACCAGGGTCCCATGTCCCAGTGGTTGAGTTGTTCCAGTGGACGAGTTGGTCCAGTGGATGAGTTGGTCCAGTGGACGAGTTGGTCCAGTGGATGAGTTAGTCCAGTGGACGAGTTGGTCCAGTGGATGAGTTGGTCCAGTGGACGAGTTGGTCCAGTGGACGAGTTGGTCCAGTGGACGAGTTGGTCCAGTGGACGAGTTGGTCCAGTGGATGAGTTGGTCCAGTGGACGAGTTGGTCCAGTGGATGAGTTGGTCCAGTGGACGAGTTGGTCCAGTGGATGAGTTGGTCCAGTGGACGAGTTGGTCCAGTGGATGAGTTGGTCCAGTGGACGAGTTGGTCCAGTGGATGAGTTGGTCCAGTGGACGAGTTGGTCCAGTGGACGAGTTGGTCCAGTGGATGAGTTGGTCCAGTGGACGAGTTGGTCCAGTGGATGAGTTGGTCCAGTGGACGAGCTGATCCAGTGGACGAGTTGGTCCAGTGGACGAGTTGGTCCAGTGGATGAGTTGGTCCAGTGGACGAGTTGGTCCAGTGGATGAGTTGGTCCAGTGGATGAGTTGGTCCAGTGGACGAGCTGATCCAGTGGACGAGTTGGTCCAGTGGACGAGTTGGTCCAGTGGACGAGTTGGTCCAGTGGACGAGTTGGTCCAGTGGACGAGTTGGTTCAGTGGACGAGTTGATCCAGTGGACGAGCTGATCCAGTGGACGAGTTGATCCAGTGGATGAGTTGGTCCAGTGGACGAGTTGGTCCAGTGGACGAGTTGATCCAGTGGATGAGTTGGTCCAGTGGATGAGTTGATCCAGTGGACGAGCTGATCCAGTGGACGAGTTGGTCCAGTGGACGAGTTGATCCAGTGGACGAGTTGATCCAGTGGATGAGTTGATCCAGTGGACGAGTTGATCCAGTGGATGAGTTGATCCAGTGGACGAGTTGATCCAGTGGACGAGCTGATCCAGTGGACGAGTTGATCCAGTGGACGAGTTGATCCAGTGGACGAGTTGATCCAGTGGATGAGTTGGTCCAGTGGACGAGTTGGTCCAGTGGACGAGTTGATCCAGTGGATGAGTTGATCCAGTGGACGAGTTGATCCAGTGGACGAGCTGATCCAGCGGACGAGTTGGTCCAGTGGACGAGTTGATCCAGTGGACGAGTTGATCCAGTGGATGAGTTGATCCAGTGGACGAGTTGATCCAGTGGATGAGTTGATCCAGTGGACGAGTTGATCCAGTGGACGAGCTGATCCAGTGGACGAGTTGATCCAGTGGACGAGTTGATCCAGTGGACGAGTTGATCCAGTGGATGAGTTGGTCCAGTGGACGAGTTGGTCCAGTGGACGAGTTGATCCAGTGGATGAGTTGATCCAGTGGACGAGTTGTTCCAGTGGACGAGCTGATCCAGTGGACGAGTTGGTCCAGTGGATGAGTTGATCCAGTGGACGAGTTGATCCAGTGGACGAGTTGGTCCAGTGGACGAGTTGATCCAGTGGACGAGTTGGTTCAGTGGATGAGTTTGTCTAGTGGACGAGTTGGTCCAGTGGACGAGTTGGTCCAGTGGACGACCTTCTGAACCTTCCCAAGAGGCAATCCAACAACAGTTGCCAGCCAGAGTACAAAGAATAAATGTTGTGAAAATTCTGATCGTCCAGCTTGAGTGGAAGCCCCAGGAATCCCTCGTGTGTTCAGTAGAACTCCAGGTTGCAATCCTTTTGACCATGTCTTGGCCTGGTTGTCCGGGGGCGTGTGCCTGGGGAACACGCACCGCATTGGTTCGAATCCTCTTCACGGCCCCTACGGATTCTCCCATTGATGTACCACGTTAGTATGATTAATATCTGTGTATTAATCATTGTCCCTATTAATCTAATCAGTATCCATCAAGCCAGGTAGCCTCATATGTTTTTAAACCATAGAGGCAGCAGAAAGGCAGCATAGAGGCAGGATAGAGGCAGCATAGAGACAGCATAGAGGCAGCATAGAGGCAGCATAGAGGCAGCATAGAGGGAGCATAGAGGCAGCATAGAGGCAGCATAGAGGCAGCATAGAGGCAGCATTGAGGCAGCATAGAGGCAGCATAGAGGCAGCATAGGGGCAGCATAGAGGCAGCATTGAGGCAGCGATGTTGCCTGGAAGCACATAGAGGCCAGAGTAACACACATCTGCGTTTTATCCTGGAAATAATACTGGAAATGTCACAGAATACTATATATTCTTGACTATACATTGTTAAGAATACTATATATATTCTTGACAAGTCATGCAAGAATACAACCAGTCCTGACTCTTCCAGTATTGGTCGTAGTTTATGGGGTGACGCGGCGTTTGAGGGCCAGAAATAATAACGAAATATTATAAAGATTGAAACCGAAATGGAGACAGAGACAGGCAGTGAAAAAGGCTTAAAGATAGAGAGAATAACTCCAGAAGCCGCTTGCCACAATGGTCACAATAAAGGCTTTACTCAAAACAGTTCAAAGGGTCCAACTTTCCCCCCCCCCCCCCCTGCCTTTTGGGTACACGTAAATGGCAATATTTGTTATTTTTATGAAAGTCAATTTCTTGTCTCTCTCTCTAGGCCTCGAACACGGTTTTGAAGCTCAATTATAGCACACGGGGGGGGGGGAGGGTATACAATTATAGTAAACTTTGTCTGCCTATCGGGTAAACTTAGCGACTGTTGTTTATGCTAGAAGTTTGCTCTTCTGTAAATATATATAAAATGGGTATAACAAAAACTGAGAATATCTTTATAGCCTTATATATTCACGGTTTGGAGGTCATCTATTCCTAGCTCTTACGTGCCTAGGAGCTCACTCACAGCTAGGAGCATATACACCACGCCTAGGAGCTTACCTAAACCCTAGGAATGGTGCCAAAACGTATAGACCATCCGGGGGATCGAACGCGGACCTGCATGAAGCGAGACCATCGCTCCAGCCCAAGTGGTTGGATTACTTCTCGTGTAGGTAGACCACTCATGGTATTCCTACGTTATAGTGTCAAATTGGGAGGGTACTCAATAGTCCATTTGAGTAAACAGCCTAAAGATTGGCTGTACTCAATTTGTCTTAACTAATCACTATGTTCTCCTTGCAAAAATACACATTAATACAGCATACTATGTTATGTATTCTTCCCTCTCGTGTTTTGGTATTTCCCCCCGCATTATATATATATATATATATATATATATATATATATATATATATATATATATATATATATATATATATATATATATATATATATATATATATATATATATATGCGAACAAGCCTGAATGGTCCCCAGGAGTATATGCGACTAAAAACTCACACCCCAGAAGTGATTCGAACCCATACTGCCAGGAGC